CCAATGCCCAGCATGAGCATTGGAAACGTCATTCGTGAACTCAAAATGACCGACTTGTCTTAGTTTTACCGTATGCCTGCTCATGCCTGATAACATTTGCTTTTCTACCTACCTACATGTTCAGTATCAGAATCAATTCCTCCTCTTAGTTTTGTGAAGTGTCCAGTTTTTGAGTAACCATGGGGAGCTTACGAGCCAAGCGTGAATCAAACCCTAGCTCTCCAGCTAAATGTAAGGAATCTCCCACAAAATCCACTGCGAGGAAAGCATCTACCAAACCGACAAGGCCTTCTTGCTCCTCCAAGGAGAAAACTTATTTTGATGCGAAAGTGAAGAAAGACCAAAGCAAACGTTTTGAATATTTGTTAAAACAGACTGAGATTTTCTCTCACTTTATGATGAAGGAGGCCAAAGATGAAACGATCGGCAAATTAGGAAGAAAATCTGAGAACAGAGAGTCGTCGGCCCCAAGCTCACCCTCCAAAAACATCGGTGACACTCGACAACGTAAAACAGAGCAGGAAGAAGATGAAGAACTCCTTGCTCAGAGCAATTCGGAAGTGAAGGTGATGACAACTTTTGATAAATCACCATCATACATCAAAAATGGAGAGATGAGGGATTATCAAGTCAGAGGACTTAATTGGATGATCTCTCTTTTTGAGAACGGGATCAATGGCATCTTGGCTGACGAGATGGGCCTAGGCAAAACCCTTCAAACAATATCATTATTGGGTTACATGAAGCATTATCGGAACATTAATGGTCCGCATCTAGTAATCGTTCCCAAGTCCACATTGTCTAACTGGATGAATGAATTTAAAAAGTGGTGTCCCTCTCTTAAAGCGATTTGTTTAATAGGAGATCAAGAAACCAGGAGAGTTTTTATCAAAGATGTGTTGATGCCTGGTAAGTGGAATGCATGTATCACTTCTTATGAAATGGTACTCAGAGAGAAATGTGCTTTGAAAAAGTTTAATTGGCGATATGTGGTCATTGATGAAGCCCATCGAATTAAAAATGAAAATTCTAAGCTTTTTGAGTTTGTCAGAGAATTTGAGTCTGCTAATCGACTTCTCTTGACTGGCACCCCCTTACAAAACAATCTTCATGAACTGTGGTCCTTGTTAAATTTTTTACTTCCGGACGTATTTGGGTCTGCAGAAGATTTTGACGCATGGTTTAACCTCAACAGATGTTTTGGAGATGATGCATTAGTTGAAAGACTCCATGCCATTCTTCGTCCTTTTTTGATGCGTCGTATCAAGTCGGAAGTGGAGAAAAGTTTGCTCCCTAAGCTAGAAACCAAAGTGTACATCGGATTAAGTAAAATGCAAAGAGAGTGGTACACCAAAATTTTATTGAAAGACATTGATATAATAAATGGTGCTGGAACCATGGAAAAAATGAGACTTTTGAATATATTGATGCATTTGCGTAAATGTTGCAACCATCCATACCTATTTGATGGAGCCGAAGACGGTCCTCCGTTCACCACTGATGAACACCTAATAACAAATTGTGGAAAAATGGTCATTCTTGACAAACTACTCTACAAACTTAAAGAACAAGACTCTAGAGTTTTGATCTTTTGTCAGATGACCCGTATGATGGATATCCTAGAAGATTATTTCTTTTTGCGAGGATACAAATATTGCAGGTCGGATGGCAGTACACCTCATGAAGATAGGCAGCAAGACATAGGTGCCTTTAACGCACCTGGAAGTGACAAGTTTGTCTACATACTGTCAACTCGAGCTGGTGGTCTTGGTATCAACTTAGCCTCTGCAGATGTTGTCATCATGTATGACTCTGACTGGAACCCTCAGGTAGATTTACAAGCCATAGATAGAGTTCATCGTATTGGTCAAAAGAAACAAGTGAGAGTTTTCCGATTGATTACTGAAAACACTGTTGAAGAGAAAATAATTGAAAGGGCAGAGGTCAAGCTACGGCTTGATAAGCTAGTTATTCAGCAAGGTCGTTTAGCTGGTCAAAAAAAGACATTGAAAAAAGGCGAAATGTTGAAAATGATCCAATTTGGAGCTAAGCATGTCATATCTTCCAAAGATTCCGAAATAACTGATGAAGATATCGACACAATTTTACAGAAAGGAGCCGCTAAAACAGAAAAAATCAAAGAACAAATGGAAGCTCTTGGAGAATCGAACCTAAAAAACTTCACACCTGATGCTCCCACAGAATCATTCTATATGTTTGAAGGCCAGGACTACAGAACCAAGCAAAAATTAGTCAGTATTGAAAACTGGATTAAGCCACCTAGACGAGAAAGAAAATCCAATTATTCTGAGCGAGAGCTAATGCGCATCAAGCGTATTACGGATCTAAAACACCTAATGAACCTAAAGAACCCAAACAGCCTAAATTTCCAAAGCCTGAAAAGATTTTTGACTTTCAATTTTTGCCAAAGCGTCTGTATGAGCTTCAAGGAAAAGCATTCCGATGGTGGCAAAAAAGCCATGAGCTACAAGCGTCTTTAGACGCAAGATTAGGCGACAAAGCAACCAAAGCCCAGTATGAAGAACAGTTAAAAATTGATGAAGCCCAACCACTTACGGAGGATGAAATCGAGGAAAAAGAAGAGCTTTCAACTCAAGGATTCATGAATTGGAGCAAAAAGGATTTCCGTCAGTTTGTTAAAGCAAATGAAGTTTATGGAAGAGATAATCTTGATAAAATTTGTAAGGCAGTTGAAGACAAAACACCAGACGAAGTCCTGAAATATTGCTCAGTGTTTTGGGACCGATTTCAAGAGCTACGCAATTGTAATCGTATTCAGTCATAAATTGAGCTCGGTGAGGCATCAATTGAGCGATTGAAAGCAATCAAGAGAACTCTAGATAACAAGATGAAGTCGTATCAAGATCCATTCACAGAGCTGCAAATCGTGTATGGTAAGAAAAAGCCAAAATCGATACCCACTAGAGCCATGGGTTTTACTGAAGAAGACGATCGATTTTTGATTAGCACATTGCATATGCTTCTCAACTCCGAATTTTATTCTGATGTTTGGGAACAATTAAAGGAGGCCACTGAATCAGCACCTGGTTTCCAGCATAGCCGCATCTTCAAGAAAAGTTCACCTTCTGATTTGAAGAAACGCTGTAAGCACTTGATTACGATGATAAACAAAGAATTGCAACCACCTATTAATGACATAGAAAAGGCCAAGAAATACCAAGAAAGGATGGAGATAAAAGAAAAAAGAGACAGGGAAAGGAAAGAAGAAAAAGAAAAAAGAGACAAGGAAAGGAAAGAAGAACAAGTTGGTTTTTGCAATTGCTAGCGATAGCAATATTCGTCATGGGAACTTTAGCTTCTGGGATATGAAAATTTTAAGGTACAGTTCGTTTGCAGTATCTTCAGAATTGAAAGGGCTATGTAATTTTGTGTGAACATCTCTTTTTTAACATTTTTACTTTTTTTTTCTTTGCATACAAGAGAGCTGTTATTTACCAATTATTTATTTTCGTTGGATTATACATGGTTTTCGGAAGTTAACGCATTTAACTTTCAGTTTCGCTTTTTCGGCGTAAAGTATGATATTTTTACTCTACACATATGCCCGAATACGCATCATAGGTAACCTATGTGCCTCCTAAGTTGCCACTTTTTCATTCAAATAGATGTAACTGAAATGTTCGATGTGCACTATACTACTTTCATGTCATTGCTTTATTTATTTTTTGAAAAAAGAAAATACCATCATTAATTTGGGCGAACAGAGAAAATATACATCAATATTTGGGTCAACATCTCCCTGATTATATAACGGATGAATATATTAGTATTTCTGTATCAAAAAACTTAGCTTTTGTCTTCAGAGATACACTGATTCTAGTCCAAGGCAATTTGTTTTATTGAAAAGACAAAAAAACAAAAAATAAAAAAAAAAAAACAACTGAAATGTTAGACATGCTATTTTCATGTCTTTCTATTTGTATCAATAGGTACATCTTGCTTAACTTACGAACGTTGAATGCAAATAAACTTTATTGAAAAAAAGAAAATAACGTCATTAATTTGGGGAAACATGTGGCTGATTATATGAAGGAGGTATATTCCAGTATTTTTGTTTAACATATTAACTCACGAGAAAATGTTCGTACATTTATCATCTAGTATTAATTATTTTTTGATGATTGGTCTAAAACATTCAATACAACCATTAAAAATTAACTCCCATCGCCGGGTATCGAACTCCCGATCACCTATTGCCCGCACCTTATCAAAAAAATGGGGCGCCTCAGTCAACTAGGCTATCGCGGATCCGCGGAGCAGTGAGAAAAAATAGCATTTAAAAGACTCGGACGATGGGCGGGACTTATCACAAGAGTTGTCCTTGAGCGATTCGCGTCTTCGTAGCTTGGGAGGAATGAGCTAAGCGCCTTTCTCTGTGAGACATTGTTTGCCTATGCTATCATGTGTCTCAAGGTTCATCTCAGGATGCATTTGCTTTCGCGGCAGTAAGCTGAGGCGATATTTGTTTATCCATGAATTAAATCAATCAATCGAGCTCTGACTTTGACTTCTTTGTCCGTAACGAGTCCTCCAGAACAATTTTCCACCTTGTACGATGGTTATTATTTCTTTACTTCTATTTCTCAAATTTGAGGTGGGATAATGGCGGCTTCTCAAGAACACCGAGGTAGGTTGGGTGCCAACGAACAGAAAACTGATGGCGAAAAATAACCAATCAGAACCTCCCAAAAAAAAAGAATTTGCCTAAAAACGGAACTTCGTGGTTCTGCGCAGATTTACCAGTCAGACACGACATCTCAAAGTGGAAAAAAACTCGCTGAAAGCGAATTTTAGCAATCAACACAACTTGACGTAGAGACATGATTGGCTAAAAAATACAACGGTTTTTGATACATCGGAAAATCAACCGAAAATCGGAGACTGGGCGAAACGCTCAAGGTCGCAGAGGTATAGGGAATCCCATAGCGAAAGCAACGGAACGATTGTAATATCATGGGGAACTCCGTTCCCATGACAAAAAGAAAAAAGAGACAAGGAAAGAAAGGAAGCAAAAGAAAAGAAGGAAAAGGAAAGGAAAGAAGAGAAAGAACGGAAGCTGAAGGAAAAAAAGGAGGAGAAAGAAAAGAGGAAGAGTCAACTGGCAGGGAAAAAAGGAGCTGACGATACAAGTAATGCAAAGAGTTCTAATTTGAAAAAGAGAAAGAGTGAAACATTGTCTTCTGCCAATTCAGAACCCTCTCCACCTAAAAAGAAGAAAATTGAAAGAAAAAATGGAATTGAAACAGTTTCTTCTAAATCTTCCACAGTTGAAGTAAAGTCCAATGATGAAACTTTGAATAATCCTGATGACACTATGAAAGCCAGTATAATGAAAATACAGAAACAGAAGAGAAACCAAAGTAATTTGTTAGGAAAAAATTCAAGTCAAACATCACCTTCAAAAAAAAATCAGAATATTACCGAGGTAATAGATCTCACTGAATTATCAGTTGAAAAAAACAATACTCAAGCAAAAAATTCAATCGCTACCACAATCGATAACTCAAAGCTAAGTCCGATGAAAAATAGTAGAAGCCAAAGGGTTAGCAAAATTGGAGCCACTGCGACCGAATCAGAACAAGGATCACCAAGCAGAAAGAGTACTCAAAAAGAAGAAAAAATCAAGCTGCTCAAGGATACCCCTGAGCCCACTATTTCTTCAAAAAAGAACTTGAAACGAAATAATATTGATGCCCCTGACTCATTAAAACCTAAGAAGAAAAAATTAGAGAAAGAAAATGAAGTTATTCCCTCAACTGAGGATACCTCAAGTTTTCCAGTGCAGAGGAAAAAGAGTTTGGTTGAAGCTAAAATTGATGCATCATTGAATAATTCCAAGCCATCAACCGCCAAGACGAAGAAAAATCCAAAATAGGTGACATTATTTTCCTTTTCTGTTAGCACTAAAGTGATATGAGCCTTTTTGTCCTCTACCCGTGATGTTTTAGGAAATAGTTAAATTTAAGTTCATCGTTAATGTTACTTTGTATCTGAAATTATCCACTCCTGGTGAAATTCAGATTCCCAAGTTTTTTTTAAAAGCTATTTTCTGTCAATTGTAAGTACAAATTCCCCGAATTTCATCAGGTATGTATGCTTATTTTAATTCTCTTTTGGACCTAGTTTATCAGAAAGGAACCAACTCACCGAGAGAGAAAGTTAGTCAAAAATGTTTTTTTAGTTCCACTAGCTGTATATTTTCTCCCGCTAAAAACTGAAAGTCGAAAAACAGAAATAGTGTGTGAAAAAAGGGGTTAAACTTTATTTTCTACATTCAGCCATATGCAGGAATAAAACTTTAAACCTCTTTTTCTCAGTTTCAACTTATTGTGGGTTGGCTCCTTTTTGATGAACTCTGTCCAATTGGTCCTATTTTTCTCCAGAATTGTCTGAAGAATATTAATTTGATGAACTAAAAATAAACTATTATTTTTAAAGTTTTTTGTTAATTTATGAAATTTAGTACGACCAATGCTTTGTAAAGAAAGGCTATCTACAGTCAACACATCGATGGTGATACTTCAAAAACGTGAATCTTGTTTGCAGTAAGTATTCTGTATTTAAAAATCTTGGTTCTTGGATTTTATTTAATTGAAAGAAAATGAACCAACACTTTTGCTCGTAACTCTTACAGAATACTCACCCCATAAAATACAAAAATCAGGTAAGTTTTCTAGAAATGATGTTGATTATTTTTCCATCAAAAAATAATCGTGACGGGAAGTCTGTAGGACTGCAAACGGAGATTTGCGTTTTTGTAGTTCCACTGATGATACGCTTTGGTATAGTATTTTATCTTATGTATCAACTTCTCCACAATGAGCCTTTCATTGTCTAGCCTTGTCCTATTATTCTAGGTACCTGTTTAATATTTATTCACTATTGCTTTAATATTATTAAGTAAGTATTTTAAATTATTGCGTTTTGAGTCCAACTCAATTCTTAATTAATTGTGGAGGTAATTATTTTTGAGAGCATTTCAACAGCAAACCTATCCCTGTTTTACATTTGTACTTTACTTTGTATTTTAATTACTCCAGCCGGCTCTCTCCTCCTTTTTTCTTTGTTTCTGTGATTTTTGTCATTCTTCCTGTGTCATTTCATATGTTTTGTATGTTTAAATTGTTTATAGTTTCTCTATTTTAAGTTAATAATTTTACTTTTTTGTTTGAATGATTTTAGGTGGTGCACTGTAGATGTGGCAACCTAGAGCCTCTGATGCATGAGACTTGTACCCCGTTTATTCAAGGCTTAAGTATTACCAAGTATCGTTGAAACTGACGATGAGACAACGACTTTTTGTGAGAAAAATTGATTTTCAGCTCAGTACAATACATTAAGGTTTGAGTCTCAAGCCTCAAGAGTTCAGCTATCCAACTGCCACATCTTGGGTTCCACCTTCTTCTTTAAAATGTTTTTGGACTTCATTTGTGAGCACCTTAAAATTGATTTCTCTGCTATTTTACACACTTTGTAGAGCTTTTCCAATATTTAGTGATATTATTCTAATATTCACTTCAACCATGTGATTTCACTCATTGTTAGTAGCATGAAGTGAGAGTAGCATTTTTTGACAATCTCTCCATCCCTATTTTTTACTTCTAAAAAGTTGTGAATAACAGTGTACAAACGAATTAAAAGAGTAATATCAGTCTTTTAAATTAAGAGGATTGATCTAAAATAATCATTAAATTGTCAAAAAGCAGACTTAAAGCAATCAGGAAAGATGCCTGCCACCATCAGTCACTGCTTTCTCTGACACTGACGCATCTCTTAAAGTGATCACTTCGAAAACAGTTTCAAGCATACAATTTTAAAGGAAAGTTTTTTTTAAAAATTGCTGCAAACACAACAAAAGTGGTTTCCTCTAAAATAACCGCCCAAAAATGTCTAACCTTTTTAATTCCAGTCACTTCCTCATTTACGTGCTTCTCATAGAAAAAAAATAGGAGGTGTTTGCATTTTGGGCATTTTGGAATTTTTTTAATGACGTAGGTCGGTATGGCGACTTACATCATCGATTTTCTTGGAAATGGTGTAATTGATGGAAAAAAGTCATTCTATGTAAAGTGTTTGAGATTATATCAGGAGTTGATTTAAGCAAAAAAATTGGACGTCATGGTCTGTGTCTCATACTTCAAATTCCGGATTTTGCTGACCAAGTTGTACCGACCTACGTCACTAGGTACACAATCCTCAAGACGCGAACACCTCCTTTTTTTTCTCTATGCCTGCTTCCTGAAAAATGCTACTCTTCTGCCAGGTCCAGATGGTCTCCAAAGTGAACTACCTCAAAATGTAGTATATCGGTATAAAAATTGTTCCATCTGTTACTGACATTTGCAATGGTTGACATATTGAGTAATTAAGCAGATTCGTAGATTGTATTTCTGTCTTGTCCAAAAACCAGAATCATGGCAAAATTCAGGAGGACCAACATTTTATCCTAGCAAATTGCAGCATACTGTGGTTCGTTCCTAATGCAGGAGCACTTATCCAACCTCTCATGTCTCACCTCGCTTTTCTTGATAAGGATTTGTTCTTTTTAACCTTCTACAGTTTGTCTAACAGATACACGGTAACTGTTGTCAGCTAAACATCTTGAAAGTAAATGCCAAAGGTATAGCTGAACCTAGAACTCCATTTCTTACCCCATATATTTATCTGCTGGACCACTCTTTGGTTGCAGGTTGCTAAATCATTGTTAATTCATTTCTTATTGACTTATGTCATTAATTAATATTTTTTAGTGATATCTCTGTAAATAATAATGAAAGATAATCCCTCCAAAATTGTACAGCTTCCATTTTCTTTCAAGTTTTAAATCTCGAGCTGTTGTTAAGTCATATTCCTTTGACGTTGATAGGTGCAAATAACACTAGATCTGAGAAAAAGCCAGTTTTAATAATTGTAAGTAGGGATGCAGAATTTTTCAGACTTCCCTGTTTTCAAAAATCCTGCCTGCCTGCTTCCCACAAAATCTCCCTCCCATTTCAAATGTGAGGACCTTTTCTTTTTTGTTTCCTTTGATTTTTGACTTATGACCCTTTATTTGTTCCATATTTTTAAGAGCCTATCCATTTTTTCACCCGTCTGAACATGATGGTTTTGGAGGAACTTCTTACTGGTAAAATTTATCGGAACTTCTCAAATTCCATGAATTCCACCCCTCACTGCATTCTTTTTGCTAATCTTGTTATATGTGATAGTTTCGCATTATTTTATGTATTTTATTCTTCTCAGTCTCTGTCAGTTTTCACATTTTTTATTTGTAATTAGTTTGGGCTCAAGAACAATTTTTGTGTATACTGTTTCTCTTTCAGCTGTATCAAAACTATATTCTGTGATTGTCCTTGCTGCAGTTAGAAGCTTCAACAATATGTTCAAAAATTAAAAGAATGATTTAAGTACACACGCATTTAATTTTTTTTTTTATTCTCACAAACCCTGTAAAAAGTTTATGTATTTTGGTCATTCCTTGATACTCCCCCTCGCCTCCTCTAAGTCCACCATCTAATGCATCCGAAAATTCTTAAATTTTCTTGAATCTCACACTCAACTGTATTCTTTTTGCCAATATTGTTAAATATAATAGTCGTACTTACATTGTTTTATTTATTTTTTTT